GAAAGAGCCAGGTGACGCACTTTCAGATCTTGTTAAAAACAGCATGTTCAGTTGCACCGCAAACATTGTGAAATGTAAACTCTCCACTTATGACAAAAGAGTCACTTCATTTCCCCCAATGGGGGAATCCTGGGGTCATCACCACCTGAAAGTGATTCATAACATGCTTATAACATAGTCGAAATCATTCTGCCGACTTCCTTTCTGGCTGCCATTTGTTGGGAATTTCGAGAGGGTTTTGTCGTATATTTGTACAGTCAGCTTAAAGGGTATCTGATATAGGTTCTCGTTGACCCTACCTGCTGAAGGTTTTGTTTTGCTACATAAATTACTTTTATCCCACTGGAGGGATAGGTTTGTCACCGTATCCACACTTCCAACTTTTGTGACACGACAATGCAAATTGATGATTTGAGCGGTGAAAAACATTGAAGACACAAACCAACACACAGTATGACTTTTTGTGCACTTTCTGTGATCCATTAATTAATGCATACAGGGTTTACTGCTAGATACTACCGAACCTGCAATCATGATACTTACCCTGAAACATGTCCACGCCTTTTTCCAGATATTGCTTAACATGGCGTCTAGCAACCACTTGACCACGACTACTGCCGCTCAGATCGCAGATGGAGAATCGGACGTAGTCATATTTGGCAATTTCTTGCTGGACCTGTTCGAACTTATACATTTCTAACCAATGGCTTGGACAAATGTTTCAGTGCTGGTTACCGATCAGAGACACACGTGGAAATGATTGGAGGTAAAATGGCAAGGAATATCACGTATAAGGACAAACACGCCTTGATTATTCATATATACAACAGGGTAAATGACATTGTTCGAGGGCATCATCAGATCAGTCAGGTGTGGTTAATATCATATTAAATGGCTGGAAAACTATATGTCTGCCCCAAGGTGAAGCCTGGCTGAAGTCCACATTGGTTATGGACCTACGATGAAATAGAGGGTCAGGGTATGCATTTATTGCTTGTTTTGACCAAAAGCATTGTTTATGTCAAGCAGCAGGAGACTTTCAAACACCACGATTCCCAACTATTGTACCACGTCCCGTAACAGACTGTTTGTAACCTTTGGCGAGATGGCTTCAACGGGGTTATCTTCCACCCCGGGGCAATGACCTATAGTTCTTATCATCGTCATATATCACAAGATCGGAATTCTTTAGAACGCGCGTCACAACTGCAGCACAGGGCAGTGAGTGAGTGAGTTTAGATTTACGCCGCACTCAGGTATATGGCGGCAGCACAGGACAGTACGTGGTGGATACATCACGACCACAGCGAGGAACCATCTACCGTATTTGTCAAAGACGATTAGTGCTAGGTGTCATTTTGATTGATCATCATTATCGGCTGTGACGTCGATGGTGAATGACACATAGTGAAGCCACAACAGCGATGGAGACGTGTTTGGTTTAGTGACGTCTTTTGCTTCTCCGTACGGACGGAAAACGTCGTGTTTTCCGGGTGTCTTGGTTAACGTTATCCTCGAGACTGCATTCAAGAATTGGACAGATCTGGTGGCGAGAGTGTAATGATGTGGGAAGCTATCTCCCATATCGGTAGAACAGACGTGGTACACGTCCAGGGTAAGTTAAATTCGCAACGTTTCACTTATGAAATTATTCCGCCACATATCCCTTCCATTGTGCAACAAGCAAACGTCATTCTTTAACACAAAACCCGACCCCACAAGACTGACAACCGCATCTTCGAGGAACCATGACATCTAAGTACTGCCATGGAGCTCAAGGTCTCAAGATCTAAACCCCGTCAACATTTATGGAATGCTCATGATCAACGTCTGCGATCATGTCAGCAACAGCCATAGAACCTGCAACAGTAGGAAGAGTGGGTGTACATTTCCCAGGCAATTCGTAATCTGACTGGGTCCTGGCAATGATGCCAGGCAGTTCTGAAACTCCCATAGGGGCCATACAAGATATGGAAAACAGATGAACGTCACCTTCAAGTTTTCACGGTTTGCCATGGTTAACTTTGATCAGTGACAATGATTTGTGGAAATTGGATGAATTTATACTGACGTAGATAAGAAAGTACACACCTGGTGTTTTGGGATTATTCCTATTAAAACCATAAATATGTTGCTAGCAGTCTTGTAATTGGGTACAATATCTGTGGTGTTTTGGAAACATTTGCACAATGTTTGTCACGAGGCATAATCAATACACTTTTAAATTAATAATGATGTTTTAAAGAAAATATTTTACCAAGGAATCAGGTTTGTTCTTTCTTTTGAACGTCAGTTTATTATGATCTGTCCTTATGTATATAATCCATAAAGTCTCCCAAACACTTTTGCGATTAATTTTTACAGAGTTTACTTACCTTACAACAACAAACACGGGTGCAGTTAACTGCTTCTTACACAATCTAAACCTGTACATTCTGACTGTAATGCACAACACAACGCCCTTGCATGAGTTGCGTCACGCGGATTACTACTTACTACTATTACCTCATTTAGAATAGTTCTGCCATAGTTTTGGGTTATCAAAACGATAATGATCTTTTATCAAAGATTGTAAATCCGTAAAGGCTCGACATGTTCGGAGACCCCACACAACAAAAAAACCTCCATTCGTTAGCAGACTGCCCTACATTGGTACAGCCAGCCATTACAGCAGTCTGAGAGACATCTTCTCACACGCGGACTTCAATGTTTACACCACACGAAATAACAGCACTTTCCAGTCTTCACCATGCTAAGAAATAAACGTAACATCCGCGGCTCATACGACCAATGCTTGAAATGGACGTATCATTTAGCCGCCAAACTTCCATTTGTTTCGCGGATAATGAATAAAAGAGCAATTGAGAGACATTGATGACACAAGTTCAAATACCTTTGAAATCGTGTATGACAAAGTTTAGATTTACCTTATATTTCATACTCAACTCAATACTGGGTCACAGTAAATGCATTACTAAATATAGACAGAAATGAGCATTTATGTCAATGGTTCGCTGATATAACTGCATAATATTGTCAACAATGGTTCGTTTCCCTGCAGCACCAACGACAGTGACTTAATGAGGTAACTGGTAACGTGTTGTGGTGGTCAACGTCAACACGGACATTCCAAGTTTTCTTTGTAGACTGAGTGTTTGTTAGGTCAGCTTTCATCACCGCACTGCATGGATTGATGTCAGGTTTAACTTAATAAAGGCTCAACGCCGCTGTAACATATGTTATATTTGAGATTACACTTTCGAACTGTGGTTCGAATGCCGCATGGGACTCAACCCCAAAAAGGTACTAGAATCTCTGCTTTACTAAGAAAGTGTAATCCCATATATAAGATATGTTACATTTGACCACTTTCTAAAAATGGCATTGTGTAATCCTAACAAAGGCTTATAGAGGGTACAGTGCTATATTTTTGTATTATGACATAATTATGTAAATATGCCTTATTATGCTAAACGTCTGGCCCAGATTCGATTATTTACAGGCCGCCGCCATACAGCTGGAATATTGCTGAGTGCGGCGTTAAACAACAAACAAACCAACCTATGATTTTTCTCGGGTTCTACAGAAACAAAACGTTTTTTCCGACAATAACAGGCCTGAAACCCACATGAAAAAGTTCTTTAGAAGTGAATTTGTGAGCGGTACCTCGCCATTAGAATATCACAAGCGTTGCTTCAATCAAATCCTTTAGCTAGGTCAAAATTAGTTAAACGCAATTTTCTTTCAACAATTCACCTATAAACTAAGCTAAGATCCTATCCAAAACAAGTATGCATGTACCCCTGCTGACTATGGCACATACGTGTTTTCTTTTCAATGTTTTCCTTTATTCTTCTATTCTTCATGTTCATGTTGCACGTAGTTGCCATTCTTGTTGATTGTCGCTAAATGACTGGTATTCTTCTGAATCATGAAGGTTCATCATACACACTAGGCAAGCCATTGGCCGCAGGACACCTGCTAATGTTTTGTTGATGTGTCTGCAATGTTGAATGGTAGATAATTGAATATCAACCAAGCAACCAGCCTATCAAATCAGCACTGTTTTTTAAACGTACCAAGAGAATCCGGCTGACCACATTGCGACTGTACCATGTGTAGAAGACCAGAACCTGATGATCCGGCCTGACTGTGCTAGGATCACCCAAACCCCCATTGCCGCAGTTGCAGTTAGCTGAAGTTGATCAGACTATCCACACAACCGGTATCTACGTATAGCTTACACATGACAGTTGACCAGTGAAGATCCGGCTTAGAATTGATCACCAGTTACCCATGCTTGTCGTAAGAGGCGACTAACGGGATCGGGTGGTCAGGCTCGCAGACTTGGTTTACACATGTCATCGGTTCCCAATTGCGTAGATCGATGCTCATTCAGTTGATCACTGGATTGTCTGGTCGAGACCGCCGACATATAGCTGGAATATTGCTGAGTGCGGCGTAAAACTAAACTCACTCACTCATGACAGTTTGTTCCGAGACGCTCCTGAGAATAATGCAATGGTCCTGTCACAGACCATGAGACCATGGACAACATGTTGGTGTTCTATGGATATACAACTTCTTTATTATTTATATGAGCGACGTTAAGGTGTAGCTATTAACGCCGTTATCAAGCAAGTGATGTACAATATTGCAGGCAAGCTGTATATATAAGTAGTAAAGTAAGAACAGTAAGTTGAATGATTTTTACAGAATTGATAAGGTTGATGTACAAGGTTGGGGAATGTTAACACAATAAGGCAATTGTTGCGGGGTGATTCATTGGGGCAGCCCGTGATATCATAGATAGGAGAATAATGGGACTGAATATAATTGAATATGCCATTGTGTTTTTGCTGTCATATAGCACCACTGGAAAAAAAAAATCTGGTAACACCTGTTATGGATGTGTTGTCATGATACATATCCAGTCTGTCTCATATCCCCCTCAGCCTGCTGAAGTTCAAGTAGAAGCAACTATCACTTTTGATTTTACAATGTCGAGGTTAGAGAAAGTCGCACAGGAAATTGCCAAGTACGACTATGTAAGATTTTCCATCTGTGATCTGAACGGCATGAGTCGTGGACAAGTGGTGGCTAGCCGTCATTCCAAGAAATATCTGGAAAACGGATTGGAAATGTTCCAAGGTAAGAAATGACGATGTTAGATGCAGCAGTCAGATAGGAAGCGTAGGTCTAGTGTATGGGATACATCCTTTCAGTTTTCAAGTTTATTTGTTGTTTAACGCCGCACGCAGTAACATTGGAATCTGACCACCAGAATTAGTGAGTGAGTATGGTTTTACTCCGCTTTTAGCAATATTCCAGCAATATCACGGCGGGGGACACCAGAAATGGGCTTAACACATTGCACCCATGTGGGGAATCGAACCCGTGTCTTCGGCGTGACGAGCCAACGCTTTAACCACTAAGCTACCCCAAAGCTCCCTGACCACCAGAACCATTCATATGAGATAACTGAAATGTGATGGCCAGCTTTAACATAACATTTCAACATTTACATCCATCAGGTGTCGCGTGATTATTTACACTACTGGTCTGAAATGGAGAAATCACTTCTATTGTGAAGAAGATGGGGAACAGAATACCTTGTTTGTATGCAGTGCTCATTTTGAAGATTAAAGTAACAAAACCCACAATTATATGTGGAGTGAGTGAGTTTAGTTTTACGCCGCTTTTAGCAATATTCCAGCAATATCACGGCGGGGGACTCAAGAAATTAGCTTCACACATTGTACCCATGTGGGGAATCGAACCAGTGTCTTCGGCGTGACGAGCGTACGCTTTAACCACTAGGCTACCCCAACGCCCCTCTATGTGGAGAGTTGCGTCTTCAGATGAATGAGAAACCTATGTCCGTATTACTGCGGCCTCTCTTGCCTTGACACGGCCTGCTAAACATATTCATGAAAAACCCAGCAGAATATATTTCTCCACATATTTCCACAAATGACATTAGGAGTAGAGTTACATTATTATGAGCTCATTTACATTGATACCTTCATGGATATTGCTATGATTATGAATATGGATAAGTCCTATACATATGTATAGATACTATATATAGATAATTAACATCGATTTTGGACAGGCTGACTTAATGTATGAATACACAATGTAGACGCCGCCGTTGCTGAGGCGTCTGACTTTATGTGCTGGCGATTAGGTGCCTGACTCTGAGGGTGTGGGTTCGAATCCTAGATGGGACTCAACAAAACAAAAGTACTAGAATCTGGACTTTACTAAGAAAGTGTCATCCCAAATATTATAAAAGTTATATGGGACTTAATGTAGCTGAGTAAATCAACGGCGACTCTTACACCAATGGTATCTATTTTCTTATCGACTCGTGCTTTCTAATGATCTCATTAAGACAAAATGTGTTACCCCGATTTGATAGCTGCATAAAATCTGTCATCTTCTTCGTGGTACTGTAGGTGATCCGATCACCGGCCATTTTTCCATTCAAAATCAAGACATGTTACATTGCTGATGGATAATGATCACGATGAAATGACGTACCGAATCATGAGCTTCAAGCATCTGATTTTTATGAGATTGACATGTTGCTTTCGTAAGCATTTCTGAAACACCTTCATTATCAGCTAACAGATTGCACTGGTAAAGGTGGGGAGAGGATATTCTAAGTGTAGGCTTATATTTGAAGGGATCTTTTAGGATTAGAATACGTTGACTTAGAGTTTGATGTCATCTTCACTAATACTAGCCATACCTCTCAAATTTCGATAGGAATGTTCTGCTTGTGATGGGCATGATGTGAACATGATTAATGTTTGTCAGTACCTATATTAGTTGTTATTCATGTACAGTTCTTTCATTTCAGGTATTTTGTTGCATGACCCTAAGACACTGTTTTTGGACCATATAAAGTATAACTTTGGCAGCGCATTAATCGTTCCTGACCTTGCTACTCTGAGACCCATTCCCTGGGCTCCAGAGGGAGTGAGGGCTGTTGAATTGCTGTGCGAGTCTCGATGGAAGATAGACAATACCCCACAAGGGGCTTGTCCTCGTTACGCTGCAAGAAAACAGCTCCAGAGGTTAGATGATCTGGGATTAAAGTTTTATTCTAGCCATGAAATTGAATTTCAACTACTTGACGGTGAGACTCTGGAGACGGTTTTCGATGGACAGGATTCTTACAGCCAAAAAGTCTTTAACAAACACGGCCAGCTTATATTTCACTTTGACAAAAAACTATCAAGAGTCCAAAATTGATGTTGAAAAATATCATGTCGAATATTCGCCTGGGGTATTTGAATTCGTGACAAAACCAAATTATGGACTTACGTCCCTGGATATGGTGTTTAATTTGAAGGAAGGCCTGCTAGAAATGGCAGATCTAAAAGGTCTTAAAGCAACTTTCATGTCTCATTTTACTTCCAAAGAGCAAATAGCATTGAGTACAGATTTAAATTTTTCCCTGTGGAATAAATCTGGGGTAAACGTGTTTTATGATGCCAGTACTCCTGATAAACTGTCTGTAGTTGCCAAACAGTGGATTGCTGGTATTCTGAAGCACAGTAAAGCTCTCAGTGCTTTTGCCAGCCCCACGGTCAACTGCTATAGAAACTTCGACTGCCAACTGAAACCTACAACTCCTTGCTGGGGAGTAGAGGATCGAGCAGCATGCCTCCGCATTAAGAACGAAGGTCCTTTGAAAACATACATCGAGAACAGACTTCCGACTGGCAAATGCAATGCATATCTGGTTGCAGCATCTACTATTGCTGCTGGACTGGATGGTGTCATCAAGAAGATGGAGTGCCCACTCCCAGGGACATCAGAGCATGATCAATCTCTCCCCCGTTCCCTCGCTGAAGCTCTGGATGAGCTGGAACAGGACGAGGATCTGAGTGATGCCTTAGGGAAAGAACTGGTGGCATGGTTTGTCCAGAGCAAGAGAGATACAGAAATTGCCAAGTATGAAGATGTCGAGGCTGACGAAGAAAGGTTTACTTTAGAAAAAGAAGACTACCTCTGATAAAATATATTTGTTCTGCAACTACATTGTAGCTGGTTCGGTGTTTACCACAATTAAGGATGGTATGTTTATGATGCATAATACCATTCGTCTGATGTCATCATTACCTTTAGTAATTAATGAATACGTGCTTATTACACAGACAGAATAGTACAGTGGACTCTACTTTCAGCAGAACGTTCTATGGTGAGGGTAATGATTTGTTCGCGTTTATATACATCTGGCAGAAGTATGTGTGAGTGAGTGAGTGAGTGAGTTAAAAAATTACGTCACATCGGCAATTTTTCGGCCATATAGTGACGAGAAAAGCATTTGCTGTAACTATCAGGAAATATCTGTCGCAAAGGACAGTAAAACATTAGCAAGTTATCACAATTTGAATCTGAAAACTAACCATTCAATTGATAAAAGACTTTATTCCACACGAAGATCAATTATTACATAGTAATTACCAATAAAATACGAGCTATATACCACCAGTGGGGATCATCCCTTCATCAGGACGTACAGTACTTTTGTTCGGCTTTCTGCATGAACGGCAGAAGTATGATGTTAGTATGCTTATCTTGCTGATATATAGTGTACATTTCCTTTGAACGAGTAAAATGGGTATGTGCTGTTGTTGGTTGTCGATGCTGCTGTTTGCTGTCGCTGATGATTTCATCCAGGTTGCTCACTTACAGGAACGTGATGCAGCATGTGGACTTCTCATAGTGTAAATTACACTTCATATTTATCTAAAATTCCACTAATTGTTTGCCACCTCCCAACAATTTGGATCACAACTTTAGGAGCAGTGTGGATGCTGTGAAAGCATGTGCCAAAAATGAGCCAAAAGAGAAATATGTTGAATGTATTTCAGGGTGCTTTAAGTCAGTAGGCCATGTTATTAATAGTAGAAGACACAAACAGAAAATAGAAAACGGAACTGAAATAAACGCATTGTGCGATAGCCATCTGTGATGCAAGATCTGACTATCCTACTTGGACAAGGCTTTAAGTAACAGTTACATATGAGCTTCACAACATAAACATATTTGGTCAAAGAACTTTACCACGAGTAACATATCAATATTACCACATACAGTATAAGGCCAGTTTGTTAACTGATGAAGAATTCTATCATATCCACGCAGTAGTTTTTTAAAACTTTTGAATAGACTCTAAAACCAGAATACACACCCATTCCTCTTTGGTACTGAGTTTCAGATCCACGAAAATCTGTGTAATGAGAGAGGCATATTGTATCAAAGATTAACCTCGATCTTCAATACAATGTAATAAATGAAGGGCTGTGATATTTACAGAAAGTATGTAAGAGAAATGGGCTGACTGACTGAGTATGGTTTTACGTCGCTTTTAGCAATATTCCAGCAAAATCACGGCTGGGGACACCAGAAATGGGCTTCACACAATGTTCCCTTGTGGGAATCGAACCCGGGTCTTCGGCGTAACAAGAGGACGCTTTACCCAACAGTCTACACCACCGTCCCGTAAGGGAAATGGAGTAGCCTGCGGTTGGGTAGCCTAGTGGTTAAAGCGTCCGCTCGTCACCCTGAAGACCCGGGTTCGATTTTACACATGGGCACAATGTGTGAAGCCCTTTTCTGGCTTTCCACGTCGTGATATTGCTGGAATATTGCTAAAGGCGGCGTAAAATTATACTCACTCGCCCACTCAATCACTCTCTAAGTCTCAGGAATCCCTTCCTTTTGCAATGCCAGAAAACAACTAAATTCTTGATTTTTTCATTTTCAAATTTTCAACACCACCATCCTGCATGACTAGCATAAGGGAAATAATTTGTTCCTCGATCCAATTTGAACCTAGACATAGTTCCTTTAGAAGCAAATGCCATGTGAATATTAGTGAGAAAACAATATATGAAATGCAGGACTTCCTCGCAGATAACATCTAAGTGACATTTGGGACACATTTGTATGCATGACCATGGAGACCGATTGTGCTTTCCGTTTTGATGATCTGTTTCTCTATGCATTTGAATTGAAACGTCATTGGTGTAGGTTACAGCATTCAAGGCCCGAGTGAAGCCGTCACAAAGGTTTATGGTACACATTGGGAGAACAGTTCAACACTTGGGCATCAGTGACATAAATGATGTTCACTGCATGTTCCCGTGTTTTAGTCAAGCGAACAATTGACTTTGTGATGGGTGCCATCTTTGAGACAGGATACGATCATCTTGTCGTAATCGCTTGGTGTTTTCACTATTTGATAGGGAATCATAAAGGCATACTCATAATAAGAATCGGACAATGGAATAAATATGTATTTAACAAAGATTTCTGTTGAATGGAGGAATATATTTTGTTACATATATTTATTTGAAGCAGCAAGATTTTATAACGTTGTGGTTTGCCACGTTTTGACATACGACATGGCCTTGGTCAACACACCCATATCAGCACCCTTGGAACTTGTATGTATGGATTTCTTGACGTTGGAACCATCAAAAGGTGGATTGGAGCATGTTCTAGTTGTAACTGATCACTTTACCAGATATGCCCAAGCATATCCAACAAGAAACATGTCAGCCAAAACAACCGCTGAAACTTTCTTCACAAATTTTGTTGTTCACTATGGACTACCAAAGCGGATACATTCAGATCAAGGAGCTAATTTCACTGGTAAAGTGATGCAGGAACTGTGCCAACTGTTGAAAATTGAGAAGTCCCAAACCACGCCGTACCATCCCATGGGCAATGGTATGTGCGAGCGCTTCAATCGAACACTCTGTAACATGCTAGGCACTGTGGATCCCGACCAGAAAAGGAATTGGAAAGCCCATATAGGTCCCTTGGTACATGCCTACAATTGTACAAGACATGAGACAACATCAGCATCTCCATTCTTTCTGATGTTCGGAAGACTCCCTAGATTACCTGTCGATTTGGCTTTTGGATTGGACATAGAGCCAGGAAAATCCAGATCTATTTCTGAATACACCAAGTCCCTCAGGGAACGTTTGAAGCAAGCATATGAATTGGCATCTGCATCAGCAAAGAAGGCTCAGTCCAAACAGAAATCAAACTACGATCAAAGAGCACGTGCTGCAACACTGGAGGTCGGAGATAGAGTCCTTGTAAAAATTGTAGCCTTTGACGGACGACACAAGCTGGCTAACCAATGGGAAGATGACGTGTATATTGTTGTGAATCAACCAAATCCATCTATTCCTGTCTTCACAGTTGTGCAAGAAATTTGCGAGGGAAGGAAGGAGACACTTCATCGAAATCTTCTGTTGCCTGTTGGCTACATTCCTAACTTGGAACCACCTGTTCCAACACCAAGACGAGTAACCTCAACGCCCAGACAAGTGATCCCAACACCCCGGAAAAGATCATCAACATCCCTGAAAACCACATCAGAGATATCGCACCAGGATGATGAAAGTTCTTCAGATGGACAAGACTCAGATATTTACTCCTATTCATATCATGCTCCAGTGTTCACTGATTCATCAGTGGATGGGCCAGCTGAAGTACAGACAGCGAGGATAGGAAATGATGAAGCTAGTGCTGTCCATGATGAGAGGGAGGAAGTAACGTCTGAAGATACTGGTCAGCCGGATCAGACATCAGCTGTAGGTGGCGATTTCAGCAATGAAGTATCTGATGAAGAGAATAAGCAGCCAGCAGAAAGGGAAATGCCAACTCCAGTTCCACGACGTTCAGGCCGAACCCGAGTTCAACCGAGATGGATGCGGAGTGGGGAGTATGTTCTCTCTGCGGTCGCTACACCAGACTGGTTGGTGAGAGCAGATTCTCTTGCCTCTGGTGCAATGTTTGCTCACCAGCCAGAGAAGCTAACTGAGGCTATTCTGGGTGTTGTCACTGGTATATTATAATGATGGGGACATCATTTGTTGGGGAGGGGAAGTGTGTGGCAGGTATGAAGTCATGTAAGGTTTGGTTCATTTGAAGTTGTCATTTTTTATAGTTTTAACACAAGCAGTATCATTTTTAAGCGTTAGTCTATGGTTATTTTTAGATCTTGCCTAGTCCATTACGGGTATAAGGGGTGTCAAGAGATTGTGTCATCGCTTGTGTTGTGCCCTTTGACTTGCTTGGCCCCTTGTGTCGATTGGTTCTTTTACAACACTAAACATTACTTGCACATCAGCCATTGCACTTCACTTCAATCCGATCGCAGTTCAGAGCACAAAACAACTAACACGTCCGATCTAAAGCAGCAGTATATTCATCTTGGAGACGTGGCTCTTCTACACCCCAGTGTCACGCACAGGGGTGTCTGTCAATAAAGAATAGATCTCACAACCCGTAATCAGTGTCTGGTCCTCAGTATTCCCATTCACGTCCCGGTTACATTTAGGTATTGAGTCGTTTTCTTTGAATGTTTTTTGAGTTCGGATTCTGCTTATGAACGCCTATTTTCAAACATCCTTCGTGTCTTGTCACCTAAAGAAACCCCGCGAGTTTGGCCACGCCTTCACGGGTCAGCTACGACTGTGAACAATGTCAATGTCGGAAGGTTTATCTAACAAAATATTGTGGCTGAAATATTGCCGAGGTGACGTAAAATATTAACTCATTCCAACAAAATCATTGTAAACGCGATAAAAATGACAAGACAATAACATTTGCCAAATCAGACCGTGTAATTAATTCCAGAGAAAATACTTGTATCTATCAAAAGGATGGCAAAATGTTTTCGGTATCACGATGCATGTTGGGTTGCCATGATCATTCCTATTCGTCCAATCGGTGATGTAACATTGAGATTGTTTTTGTGTAATTATACCGAAAATTACTAATATTTAGAAAATGGGAAACCTCAGTGTTTTCTCTTCACCAAAGAACAAAAATATTGATCAAATCATAAAAAATATATTTTATTATGACTAAAATATTAGACTGGGTACCACTCGACGTGATGTGTACTGAAGTCATCAATGGCCGCTATTTGCGGCTGTGTGCTGAGAAATTTGGTGAACACATGATTAATTCGCGGGCGTTTCGTTTTAAGGTACATTTAATTGAAGATTATATATTTAGAAAGCTGAGAATTAGTGCATTCCATACAGAATTCAAATGACACGTAAATCAGACTTGAATGATTATTGCAAGTTATAATTGGGGATGTCATTAAACTGCTCTCCGAATGGGTTCGACAGTAGCATTGAGAGGATTGATGAAGGGTCAAGCTATTGGTAACACTATTTCTTAAAAGTTGAAAAATTTTCGTTTTTGTTTCAAATATATACGACTGAATGTTTTACAAACTTTCTTAACAGTACGGAAAAAACACATCAGGTCACTGAGATGTCATTATTACATTATTATGTCTGATACATTCTGTGGCACATTTTTTATTCACATTGTCAATATGGAAATCCACCTGCCACTTAATGTCAATGATTTGCACATGCAAGTCGCTCTGTCCATGGAACGTGGAGGACACTCAATACACATGCATTGATGCTTTTTCACTATGGTTCACTGTTCAGGTACCTTTTTGAAGCCGCAGCTAAAAATGAGACGTCTTTTGACACTTGCTGTAAAGGGTCAAGCTATAAGCCTTTTGGAATCTGGTAAGCCTCAGCAACAGGTTGCTGTCCGCTTTTAATATCAGTCAGAGTGCTGTTGTTAGACTGTGGCAGAGATTTCAAGCCAATGTGTCCGTGGAATACGCATGTCGACCAGGTCGCCCCAGAGTCACAATAGTCAGAGACGACAGGCACATGATTAACGCTGCGTTACGTAACAGATTCCTTAACGCAGCAGATCTTCCGAGAGAGCACTTCAATTTTAACAACGTAAGGATATCCAGGAGCACCGTTCGTTGACGCATAAGGGCAGCCGGACTCCGCTGTAGGCGACGTGCAGTTCGTCCACGACTAACACCACGCCACAGGCAGGCGTGTTTGAGATGGAGCAGACATCATGGCCGCTGGAATCAATGTCAATTTTCTCGTGTGCTCTTCACAGATGAAAGCAGATTCAATTTGTCCTTCCATGAAGGACGGCAGAGGATTTATCGTCGCAATGGAGAGCGAATCACAGATTCAACTGTGGCCACGCTCAACCGATTTGGCGGGGGATCGCTCATGGTTTGGGCAGGGATAACTCTTACTCGACGTACTCCACTTCACGTGGTTGACGGTAAACTTACCGGGCCGCGTTATAGGGACGGGATATTGGCTCTTATCAGGGGTGTAGCTACAATTATGTTACACAAGATTGTTGGTAAAAGGTTGGGCAAGCCCTCAATACTATCTGAATATAAAGCTTTCCGACCTATCGGGCTTACACGAAAAACTGTCTGGGTACGCGCCCGCTCATAGCAGTACTATTTGTGCCAGCAATGCAGGGCTTTTTTGGTTGACCGCAAGACGTCAACGCAATGCCTCATAAGGCCAGGATTGTCACAGAATTCCTTAGGCAGCAGAGTGTAGAGCGGATGGAGTGGCCAGCATGCTCGCCAGACCTGAACCCAATTGAGCATGCCTGGGATGAACTCTGTCGACGTGTGTACACACGTCAGCCAACACCAGTGGATCACCCAGGACTCCCCAGAGCTCCAGTAGAGGAATGGAATACGATTCCGCAAGTTTTCTTTATGAACGAGCATGAGAACAAGGTGCATCTGTGTCTTGGACGCGCGAGGAAGGTGCCCAAGATTTTGAATGTGAATCTTATGTACCTTCATCATGTTTAAATGTAAAGCAATGGTCACTGAAATTAAATGAATCCTCCTGTGCAAATTGTACATGTATATGTGAAAGCACTGGTGTGAACTTTTTCAAATGGGTTGGTAGGGAATCGTGCGACAAGTACGCTTTCGCACACACTTCACAAAGAAACGTTTTCCCTTCATACTTTCGCTTGTGTGATTTTAGTTGATCTTTGTCGGCGTACGTCCGGTTACATGTATCACGTTTGAATTTAGATGATGTTTGGTGACACCTGTGATTGCTGCTGCATGGATGAAGAACGTTTGGTACTGTATTTTAGAAATACTGCAATAAGAAGTTGTGCTTGAAGAAGGCCGGGAAACCGAATCGAAAGTTGCGCTTGGAGTGTTTGTTGTGGGGTTAGTTGACTTCAACGGAACAATAGTCTGCATTCATTTTCTTCATTTTGTCTTTCGGTCCGTGGGGGTAGCCTAGTGGTTAAAGCGTCCGCTCGTCACGCTGAACACCCAGGTTCGATTGCCTACATGGGTACAATGTATAAAGCCCATTTCTTGTGTCCCCCGCCGTTATATTGTTTGGAATATTGTTAATATTGCATAAAATCATACTCACTCACTCATTTTGTCTTCGTGATTTTTGTGTAGAATCGTCTTAACAATCTTAAACAATAAAAAGCAAATTAAGTAAAGTAAAGTGGAATAAAAACTTTTATTCCTCCGAATATTACACAACTATATGCACTTGTCATCAAAGTAATATGTAACTCAATATCAAAACTACTTCAAAAATGACAAACTTGCGGCATTGAACTTAGATATGTGTGTTCACAGGGGTGGCTGCAGTTTGTAAAATAGATGTGCATATTATGTGTAGTAGTAAATATATCAAAAGATGCAATCCGATCCCACAACAACTAAATGAGTGTTTCTTCATTTCACCAAAGGTACCTATTGCTTATCAAAATCACCTAAGATTTAAATATGTCATATGTCTTACGCAAGCCACAATGTTTCCTAAAATGACCAATGTTCCTTTTCATAGATAGTCTTCTTTCTCCATAGCAAAGATTTCCTCTTTAGTCTCAATGCCTTCATACAGGGCGAGTTCTGTATCTCTCTTACTCTTGACAAACCAAGTCACCAGTTCCTTCCCCAAGGCATTACACAGATCCTCATCCTGTTCAAGTTCACACAAAGCCTCATCCAGGGAACAGGGGAGTGATTCTGCGTCTTCTTGTTTCCCCGAGATTGGGCACTCCATTTTCTTTTCAACTCCATCCAGTCCAGCAGCAATGGTTGATGCCATGACAAGATATATGTTGCTCTTTCCCCTTGGAAGTCTGTTCTCGAAGTATGTTTTCCTTGGACCTTCGTTCTTGATGCGCAGACATGATTCTCGATCTTCCATTCCCCAGTCTGGAGTCCTAGGTTTAAAGGGATCGTTGTAGTTCCTGTAGCAGTTGACCGTAGGGTTCGTGAAGGCAAAGAGGGCTTTACTGTGCTTAAGGATGCCTGCAATCCACTGTTTAGCAACTACAGACAGCTTGTCCAAAGCATCCGCATCATAAAACATGTTTTCTCCAGATTTATTCCAGAGGGAAAAATTGAAATGTGTAGCCAATCCAGCTTTATCATTAGGTGACAAATATGACATGAAAGTTACTCTAAGACCTTCCAGATCAGCCATTTCCAGAAGACCTTGCTGCAAATTAAAAGCCTCATCGGCGCTCTCAATCCCATATTTTGGTTTTGTCACTGCTTCAAAAAACCCTGGCCCAAATTCAACATGGTATCTTTCAACATCAATATTTGATTCTTGAAAGCTTTTATCAAAGTGAAATAGAACTTTGCTGTGCTTGTTGAACAGCCTTTGACTAAAGAATGAAATGTAATTAAAGACCGGCTCCAAGGTTTTATTTTCTAGGAGCTGGAACTCAATTTCATGACCTGAATACAAATTAAATCCCAGATCATCCAACCTCTCGAGCTGTTTTCTTGCTGCGTACCGAGGACACGCTTCTTGAGGGGAGTTGTCCTTCCATCGAGACTCACATAGCATTTCGGCAACTTTCACCCCCTCGGGAGCCCACGGAATGGACCTCAGAGTGTCAGGGTCGGGGACGATCGACACATTGCCAAAGTTGGAGCTTTGAGCTTGGTCTATTCGCATATGCTCTGTTCGGGGACCAAATGCCAAGACACCTGAAATTGTACCAGTTCATGTTAATGATATATATATGAGTGCCCATGTCATACTGTGTTTACGAGCCTAAATGTTGGTATTTCTCGAGCAGGATATACCGATATTGGGGCACGAGTGTAGTAAACATAGTGTGTGATATGGGCACGAAAATCATATTCAATTTATTTCCGAAGTCGTCAAACTGAGGAAAATATACCCAAATCTACTTTCAAACGTAAGGTTGGCTACCCAACGTCACGACGTCACATCACCATGACAAAGTGATATTTTGCCCTAGGGCATCGTATGAAAAAATATAAATAGATAATACTACACGAGGTCTCATTACATATGAATTATACGAAACGAGTGTCCTTTTGATGGTGTCTGACCGAGCGAAAGCGTGGTCAGAAATCATAGGAAGGTCACGAGTTTTGTATAATTCGTATGTTATGAGACTGAGTGTGGTATTATATTTATTACCCACGTCTTACATGCATTAAATTGACAAAATAGCGTATTTTTGTTATTTTTTATGTTTTCAAACCAAAAACGGGTTCATAAAGAGGTTGCGGAAGAATTTTGTTCTGTAGTACACTTTTGCATGACGTCACACTGTAATGACGTCACTACGCCTTGCTAGTCTGCCCCACAGTCTCCTACCCAGAGTTCCATGCGGCAAGCCAGCATAGCATCTCTGCCACAGGCCAGAAAAATGTGACGATTCGTCACATCTTGCAATGTCCAATGTACAGATTTCTTTAACTCTTTTATTTTTGACGAGTCTACAGATCTAACTAAACATCTTTAATAGAATGGTTTAGTTTCACTGAGAAAATATCCCAAAACATGTAACACTATTTCGATTTGCGTAGCGATCCTTTGTTTACATAGGTTGTACGGCTCCATGTGCTGTCATCGAAGCTGATGGAGAGCAAACGATGCAGCCAGTTTGATATCTAAATATGTACTGTCATAGACCTTACTGTCGCAGTTGTGGAAGAATATATATGTAACAATGTAAAACAATATGAAGAGAACGCCGAAAATCTTTCGTGAGTCCAGTCTCTTCTTATTATGAATATGCGCATTTGATTACAAACAAGAGAAAAGTCCGGTCACGTGATATGCAAATTAGCCTGTGGCAATGATGTTATGTTAAGTCATCGCTGTGCCGGAGTGTGGTTTGCCCCATTGGTAACCGACGGCACGATTCTGATGTTGAGATAATCAAGTGTCATAACTGTTTCGTAAACAGTTATAATTAATCTGACCCTTGACTGGTTTGCGTGTGATATGCTTGCTGAATATGGATGGATTTCGAAAAAATGTAATTCAAAACCCTTTGTACATACACGCGATATATCTGTCATGATCCGAGTCGATTATACGAGTTAAAATATATCTTCATGAATCACTATCAAATAGGGACACCAGGTATGCGGGATAGGGTTTCACTCGTGATACACACATGCAAAGGATATTCAATGACACATCATATCATGTGAACGCATGGTACAAGTTTCACTGATGCTTCGAATCTGAAAATGTCCTTTCCAAGTGAACAATACATCTTTTTTAAAGCTTTATTGACTTTTTGAAAGTGGTAACCTTGATTGAACATGTTCTGAGAAAGAGCCAGGTGAAGATCTTGTTAAAAACAGCATGTTCAGTTGCACCGCAAACATTGTGAAATGTAAACTCTCCACTTATGACAAAAGAGTGACTTCATTTCCCCAATGGGGGAATCCTGGGATCATCACCACCTGATAGTGATTCATAACATGCTTATAACATAGTCGAAATCATTCTGCCGACTTCCTTTTTAGCTGCCATTTGTTGGGAATTTCGAGAGGGTTTTGTCGTATATTTGTACAGTCAGCTTAAAAGGGTCTCTGATATAGGTTCTCGTTGACCCTACGTGCTGAAAGTTTTGTTTTGCTACATAGATCACTTTTATCCCACTGGAGGGATAGGGTTGTCACCGTACCATAACTGCTAGCTTTTGTGACACGACAACGCAATTTGTTGATTTGAGCGGTGAAAAACATTGAAGACACAAACGAACACACAATATGGTTTTTGTGCACTTTCTGTGATCCAATAATGGATACGATGATTACTGATACCACTGAACATGCAATCATGATACTTACCCTGAAACATGTCCACACCTTTTTCCAGATATTGCCTAACATGGCGTCTAGCAACCACTTGACCACGACTACTGCCGCTCAGATCACAGATGGAGAATCGGACGTAGTCATATTTGGCAATTTCTTGCTGGACTTATACATTTCTAACCTACGGCTTGGACAAATGTATCAGTGCTGGTTACCGATCAGAGACACAAGTGGAAATGATTGGAGGTAAAATGGTAAGGAATATCACGTACAAGGACAAACACGCCTTGATTATTCATATATACAACAGGGCAAATGACATTGTTCGAGGGCATCATCAGATCAGTCAGGTGTGGTTAATATCATATTTAATGGCCGGAATACTATATGTCTGCCCCAAGGTGAAGCCTGGCTGAAGTCCACATTGGTTATTGACCTACGATGAAATAGAGGGTCAGGGTATGCATTTACTGCTTGTATTGACCAAAAGCATTGTTTATGCCATGCAGCAGGAGACTTTAAAACACCACGATTCCCAACTATTGTACCACGTCCCGTAACAGACTGTTTGTAACCTTTGGCGAGATGGCTTCAACAGGGTTATCTTCCACCCCGGGGCAATGACATATATTTCTTATCATCGCCATATATCACAAGATCGGATTTTTTTAGAACGCGCGTCACAACTGCAGCACAGAACAGTGAGTGAGTGAATTTTGATTTACGCCGCACTCAGCAATATTCCAGCTATATGGCGGAAGCACAGGACAGTACGTGGTCGATACACCACCACCACAGCGAGGAACCATCTACCGTATTTGTCCTAGACGATTAGTGGTAGGTGTCATTTTGATTGATCATCATTATCGGCTGTGACGTCGATGGTGAATGACACACAGTGAGGCCACAACAGCGATGGAGACGTGTTTGGTTTACTGACGTCTTTTGCTCCTCTGTACGGACGGAAAACGTCGTGTTTTCCAGGCGTCTTGGTTAACGTTATCCTCGAAACTGCATACAAGAAGTGGACATATCTGGTTGCGAGAGTGTATTGATGTGGGAAGCTATCTCCCATATCGGTAGAACAGACGTGGTACACGTCCAGGGTAAGTTAAATTCACAACGTTTCATACATTAAATTCTTCCGCCACATTTGTGCAACAAGCAAACGTCATTCTTCAACACAAAAACCGACCCCACAAGACTGACAACCGCATGTTTGAGAATCCATGACATCTAAGTACTGCCATGGAGTTCAAGGTCTCAAGATCTAAACCCCATCAACATTTATGGAATGCTCATGATCAACGTCTTCGATCGTGTCAGCAACAGCCACAGAGCCTCCAACAGTAGGAAGAGTGGGTGTACATTTCCCAGGCAAATCGTAATCTGACTTGGTCCTGGCTATGATGTTCTGAAACTCCCATAGGGGCCATACAAGATATGGAAAACAGATGAACGTCACCTTCAATTGGATAAATTGATGCTGACGTACATAAGAAAGTACACACCTGGTGTTTTGGGACTATTCCTATTAAAACCATAAATATGTTGCTAGCAATCTTGTAATTGGGTACAATATCTGTGGTGTTTTGGAAACATTTGCACAATGGCATAATGAAATAACTTTTTAAATATTAAAGCTGTTTTAAAGAAAATATTTTACCAAAGAATCAGGTGTGTTCTTTCGTTTGAACGTGAGTTTATTATGATCTGTCCTTATGTATATAATCCATAAAGTCTCCAAAACACTTTTGCGATTACTTTTTACAGAGTTTACTTACCTTACCACAACAGACACGGGTGCAGTTAACTGGTTCTTACACAATCTAAACCTGTACATTCTGACATTAATACATAACACAATGCCCTTGCATGAGTTGCGTCACGCGATTACTGCTTACTACTATTACCTCCTTAAGATTAGCTCTGCCATATTTTGGGGTTATCAAAACGATAATGATCATTTATCAAAGATTGTAAATCCGTAAAGGATCGACATGTTCGGAGACCCCACACAACAACAAAAAACTCCATTCGTTAGCAGACTGCCGTACATTGGTACAGCCAGCCATTACAACAGTCGAAGAGACATTTTCTGACACGCGAACATCAATGTTTACCCCACACACGAATAAACAACACTTTCCAGTCTTCACCATGCTACGAAATAAGCGTAACATCCGCGGCTCATACGACCAACGTTTGAAATGGACGTATAATTTACCCGCCAAACTTCCATTTGTTTCGCGGGTAATGAATAAAAGAGCATTTGAGAGACATTGATAACACAAGTTCAAATACCCTTGAAATCGTGTACGACAAGGTTTAGATTTACCTTATATTTCATACTCTCCTCAATACTGGGTCATAGTAAATGCATTATTAAATATAGACAGAAATGAGCAGTTATTTCAATGGTTCGCTGATATAACTGCATAATATTGTCAACAATGGTTCGTTCCCCTTCAGCACCAACGACAGTGACTTAATGAGGTAACTGGTGCCGTGTTGTGGTGGTCAACGTTAACACGGACATTCCAAGTTTCCTTTGTAGACTCAGTATTTGTTAGGTCAGCTTTCATCACCGCACTGCATGGCTTGATGTCAGAATTAACTTAATAAAGGCTCAACGCCGCTGTTACATATGTTATATTTAAGATTACACTTTCGAACTGTGGGTTCGAATCCCGCATGGGACTCAACCGAAAAAATGTACTAGAATCTCTACTTTACTAAGAAAGTGTAATCCCATATATAAGATATGTTACATTTGACCACTTTCTAAAAATGGCATTGTGTAATCCTAACAAAGGCTTACAGAGGGTACAGTGCTATATTTTTGTATTATGACGTAATTATATA